ATACGCAGCCACAAATCCAGTTTTACAGAAAGTAATTGAAGGAAAATCACTAACCAAGGAGTCCAACAATGACCACAATACCTCAGACATCTAGAGACCCTTCACCAACACAAAACAAAGAAGGGAAACTCACAAACTCTACGACTAAAAAAAAAAAATGACCGGAGTTAACAACCACTGGTCATTAATATCACTTAATGTCAATGGACTCAACTCACCTATAAAAAGGCACAGGCTAAGAGATTGGATAAGAAAACAGGATCCAACATTCTGCTGTTTACAAGAAACACACCTCAACCACAAAGACAGGCACCTACTCAGAGTAAAGGGCTGGGAAAAGGCCTATCAAGCAAATGGTCCTAAGAAACAGGCAGGTGTGGCCATACTAATCTCTAACAAAGTTGACTTTAAACTTAAATCAATCAGAAGAGATGGAGAGGGGCATTTTATACTCATAACAGGAACAGTTCATCAGGATGAAGTCTCAATCCTGAACATCTATGCCCCTAATATAAAAGCACCCACGTACATAAAAGAAACATTGCTAAAATTCAAGGCAGCCATCAAACCGCACACACTAATAGTAGGAGACTTCAACACTCCTCTCTCACCAATGGACAGGTCAATCAGACAGGAACCTAACAGAGAAATAAGAGAATTAGTGGAGGTAATGAATCAAATGGACTTAACAGACATCTATAGAACATTCCATCCAAATAGGAAAGAATATACCTTCTTCTCTGCAGCTCATGGAACCTTCTCGAAAATCGACCACATAGTCGGTAACAAAGCAAACATCCACAGTTACAAAAAAATATTAGTAACCACCTGTGTCTTATCAGATCACCATGGATTAAAGTTAGAATTCAACAATAATGCTACCCCCAGAAAGCATACAAAGTCATGGAAACTGAACAGTCAACTATTGAACCATAGCTGGATTAAGGAAGAAATAAAGAAAGAAATTAAAGTCTTCCTGGAATTCAATGAAAATAAAGAAACAACATACTCAAACTTATGGGACACTATGAAAGCAGTCCTAAGAGGAAAGTTCATAGCACTAAGTGCCCACTTAAAGAAAACAGAGAAAGCTCACATTGGAGACTTAACAGCCCACCTGAAAGCTCTAGAAAAAAAAGAAGCAGACTCACCTAGGAGGAGTAGAAGACTGGAAATAATCAAAATGAGGGCTGAAATCAACAAAATAGAAACACAGAAAACAATACAAAAAATCAATGAAACAAAAAGCTGGTTCCTGGAGAAAATCAACAAGATTGACAAACCACTATCCAAGCTAATCAAACGGCAGAGAGAGAATTTGCAAATTAATAAGATCAGAAATGAAAAGGGGGACATAACCACAGACACAGAGGAAATTCAGAGAATCATTAGATCTTACTACAAAAGCCTATATGCCACAAAATTGGAAAATGTAAAGGAAATGGATACTTTTTTAGATAAATATCATATACCAAAGTTAAATCAGGACCTGGTGAACAATCTAAATAGACCTGTTAGTCGCGAAGAATTAGAAGAGGTTATCAAAAACCTCCCTACCAAAAAAAGCCCAGGACCAGATGGTTTCAATGCGGAATTCTACCAGATCTTCCAAGAAGATCTAATACCTATACTCCTTAATGTATTCCACAAGATAGAAACAGAAGGGTCATTACCAAACTCCTTTTATGAAGCCACAATTACTCTGATACCAAAACCACTCAAAGACTCAACCAGGAAAGAGAACTACAGGCCAATCTCACTCATGAATATCGACGCAAAAATCCTCAACAAAATACTGGCAAATCGAATCCAAGAACACATCCGAAAAATTATCCATTATGATCAAGTAGGCTTCATTCCTGAGATGCAGGGCTGGTTCAACATACGAAAATCTATCAATGTAATCCAGCATATAAATAAACTGAAAGAAAAAAACCATATGATCATCTCATTAGATGCTGAAAAAGCATTTGACAAAATTCAACATCCATTTATGTTAAAAGTCTTGGAGAGATTAGGGATACAAGGGTCATACCTAAATATAATAAAAGCTATATACAGCAAGCCGACAGCTAACATCAAATTAAACGGAGAGAAACTCAAAGCCATCCCACTTAACTCAGGAACACGACAAGGCTGTCCACTCTCCCCATACCTCTTCAATATAGTGCTTGAAGTTCTAGCAATAGCAATAAGACAACATAATGGAATCAAGGGGATTCGAATTGGAAAGGAAGAAGTTAAACTTTCGTTATTTGCAGATGATATGATAGTGTACATAAGCGACCCCAAAAACTCCACCAAAGAACTCCTACAGCTGATAAACAGCTTTAGTAATGTGGCAGGATACAAGATCAACTCCAAAAAATCAGTCGCCCTCTTATACACAAAGGATATGGAAGCAGAGAGGGAAATCAGAGAAGCTTCACCATTCACAATAGCCAAAAACAGCATAAAATATCTTGGGGTACATCTAACCAAGGAAGTGAAAGATCTATTTGACAAGAACTTTAAGGCATTGAAGAAAGAAATTGAAGAGGATACCAAAAAATGGATGGACCTCCCTTGCTCTTGGATTGGGAGGATCAACATAGTAAAAATGGCAATTCTACCAAAGGCTATTTATAGATTCAATGCAATCCCCATCAAGATCCCATCAAAATTCTTCACAGATCTGGAGAGGACAATAATCAACTTTATATGGAAAAACAAAAAACCCAGGATAGCCAAAACAATCCTATACAATAAAGGATCTTCTGGAGGCATTACCATCCCTGACTTCAAACTCTATTACAGAGCTACAGTAATGAAAACAGTGTGGTACTGGCATAAAAACAGAGAAGTCGACCAATGGAATCGTATAGAAGACCCGAATTTTATCCCACAAACCTATGAACACCTGATTTTCGATAAAGGAGCTAAAAGTATAAAATGGAAGAAAGAAAGCATCTTCAACAAATGGTGCTGGCACAACTGGATGTCATCTTGTAGAAGAATGAAAATAGACCCTTATCTATCACCGTGCACAAAACTCAAGTCCAAATGGATTAAAGACCTCAATATCAGCCCGAACACACTGAACCTGATAGAAGAGAAAGTGGGAAGTACCCTACAGGAGCTGGGCACAGGAGATCGCTTCCTATGTATAACCCCAGAAGCACAGACATTAAGGGCAACATTGAATAAATGGGACCTACTTAAACTGAGAAGCTTCTGTAAAGCAAAGGACATAGTCAATAAGACACAAAGGCAACCTACTGATTGGGAGAAGATCTTCACCAACCCCACAACAGACAAAGGTCTGATCTCCAAAATATATAGAGAACTCAAGAAACTAGACTTTAAAATGCTAATTAACCCAATTAAAAAATGGGGCACTGAACTGAACAGAGAATTCTCAGCAGAGGAAGTTCAAATGGCCAAAAGACACTTAAAGTCGTGCTCAACTTCCTTAGCAATCAGGGAAATGCAAATCAAAACAACTTTGAGATATCATCTTACACCTGTCAGAATGGCTAAAGTCAAAAACACCAAGGATAACCTTTGCTGGAGAGGCTGTGGAGGAACGGGTACCCTCATCCATTGCTGGTGGGAATGCCATCTTGTGCAACCACTGTGGAAGTCAGTGTTTCGGTTTCTCAGGAAATTCGGGATCAACTTACCCCTGGACCCAGCAATACCACTCCTGGGAATATACCCAAGAGATGCTCTATCATATGACAAAAGCATTTGTTCAACTATGTTCATAGCAGTATTATTTGTAATAGCCAGAACCTGGAAACAACCTAGATGCCCTTCAATGGAAGAATGGATGAAGAAAGTATGGAATATATACACGCTAGAGTACTACGCTGCGGTAAAAAACAATGACTTCTCGAATTTTGCAGGCAAATGGATGGAAATAGAAAACACTATCCTGAGTGAGGTGTCCCAGACCCAAAAAGATGAACATGGGATGTACTCGCTCATAATTGGTTTCTAGCCATAAATTAGGGCCACGGAGTCTACAATAGGTGAACCTAAAGAAGCTAAGTAAGAAGGTGAACCCAAGGAAAAACATATAGTTATCCTCTTGGCTAAGAACCTTCATCTGGTGATGGATGGAGACAGAGACAGAGACCCACACTGGAGCACTGGACTGAGCTCCCAAGGTCCCAATGAGGAGCAGAAGGAGGGAGAACAGGAGCAAAGAAGTCGGGACCACGAGGCGTGCACCCACCCACTGAGACAGTGGAGCTGATCTACTGGGAGCTCACCAAGGCCAGCTGGACTGTGACTGAAAAAGCATGGGATAAAGCCAGACTCTCTGAACATGGCGAACAATGAGGGCTGATGAGACGCCAAGGACAATGGCACGGGGTTTTGATCCTACTTAATGTGCTGGCTTTGTGGAAGCCTAGCCAGTTTGGATGTTCACCTTCCTAGATATGGACGGAGGGGGGAGGACCTAGGACTTGCCACAGGGCAGGGAACCTGGACTGCTCTGTGGACTGGAGAGGGAGGGGGAGAGGAGTGGGGGGAGGGGTAGAAGGGTGGGAGGAGGGGGAGAAGGGTGGGAGGAGGGGGAGGGAGATGGGAGGCTGGGAGGAGGTGGAAACTTGTTTTTTGTTTATGTTTTTTTTCTTCTTTTCTTAATAAAAAAATTATTAAAAAAAAAAAAAAAAAAAAAAAAAAAAAGAATAAAAAACAGCCGGGCGGTGGTGGCGCACAACTTTAATCCCAGCATTCGGGAGGCAGAGGCAGGCGGATCTCTGTGAGTTCGAGGCCAGCCTGGTCTACAAGAGCTAGTTCCAGGACAGGCTCCAAAAAGCTATAGAGAAACCCTGTCTCGAAAAATCAAAAAAAAAAAAAAGAATAAAAAACAAAAAATTCCTAGTTGCATTCTGTAACAGTTTTTGTAGTTTGAAAAATAATGAACTCAGAGGTGAAAGGTCAAACAACTCAAGGATAAAGTCAAGGGCAGCTGATATTTAACTGTCCCCATTAAAGGCACCACTGACCTGGAACGTTCAACAGAGGTTTGTCAGCATCTGTATGTAAGAAAAACAAATAGGTTGGCATTTGTAGGAACTCCAGGCTTCCATAACAGAAGAGGAAGCTTACGGAGACTCTCATACAAATTTATTAATCTATTGTTCATCTCTTTAAAGAACATGGTGCCAGAATAACCAAATTTATCAATAGGTCTGCAATACATGTCCCTGTGGGGTGTTAGTTTGTTAAAGCAACTCGAGAAGACGGCAGACGTGAAAGGCTGAGGTCTGAAGAATGTCTGTTTCTAGGACCCTGAGTATTCACTGGTGGAACATAGACGTTAGTATAATATACTGTTCCCACATGGGCAGCTCTGTGAACTGCACGCCCATTCTGATGACAGCGACTAATTTTTTCAAGTCACCTCTGAGATTGCCGCTGTTTGCTTAAAGGCAGCAGGTCATCAGACAGGACCCTCAGTAGACATTCCAGAGGGAACCTATTTACTCATAGTTATGTGTTGGTACATGTGTAAATCAGGACATTTAAAAAATGCCACAAGCAATTAAAATTAGTCAAACACACACATGCATGCATACACACATACACAAACACATGCACATGAGCATACACACATACACATGTGCACACAGACACACACACAGAATTTCCGACTAAAAAGAATGATGATACTAAACCAGAGCTTTGTCAAAAACATCCTTGCTGCTAGAGAGCAGTCAGTCCCCTAGTTCCCTAAGTGAAGAGAACGGGACTCTGAAAACTTAGACATTGCACAGATGCAGTCTGGAAGTTCACTGCGGCTCTGAGAGCCAGCCCCATGCTGCCCTGGCCTCCTGGCAGCTAGCTGCCTGCTTTAATAAACACTATTATTTCAACTCCCAAGCCCTTCCTGTATTCAGACACGGTCTCTGGATGTTTCAGCAAAGCATACACTGCTCATGATTACAACCTGAGAATAAAATTAGAGAGCATACCTGAGCAGATGACACCAGCATCCTCATGGTGGCCACAGTTGTGGTCTCTCCAGTCCGAATGGGCACACTGGCCCAGGAAGTGCTCCACCCCAGCACACTGGAAGTTGTCTAGGAAGATATCTCCTGAACCAGGGCCAAAGTAGGCCTTGCCAAGGGCAGACACACCCTTTCCGCACCCCAGCTGTCTGCAGACGACCTCAGCTTCATTCAGGTCCCACAGGTCATCACACACAGTGCCCCAGACTCCCTGGTAGAGGATCTCCACACGCCCTGAGCACCGATTGGAGCCACCCACCAGCCGCAGCTCTGGCCAGTCCCCTGCAGACAGAGACCTGGTAACTGCTGTCATCTGGGAGCATGACACCTTTCATGAGATGGTTGAGCTACCCTCTCCTATACACTATTAGATAAAGAAAACCTACTAGAGTCAACCCTAGCTGGGGTGTGATAAACACAAAGACTGTCAATAGCATCTGACTCAGACAACATCCACTAATTGCTGTCTGCTATGTGAGAAGCATGCACCAAACTGTTTGGGTTAAATACAGAAAAATATGGGACTTATGCAAAACTTGGTGATTTTTGTGAGATGCTTTCAAGAGTCACTTTTATGGTAGCTCAAGGTTATGCAGCAGGGTGTTGCACGCCAACCTTATCTGTGAAGGAACTGAATATAAAAAATTCAAATATTCAAGCCCACCCCAACCCCTGCACCCTACTTCAGAAGTGCTCTTTTTCTCTGTTGTTCTAGTTCATGGCCTGTGGGATGGCTCTGAGCTTCTGCCTATGTTAGAAAAGTCAATCAATGGTTTATATGGGAGGTAAGCTGAACTGTACCTGGGTCAGGCTTGGGAAGAAGTGAGAGACTCCCACTGGAAGTATTGGTAGGCTGTGCAGGATTTGAGAGTTCTGAAGGGCACAAAAGCGAAACCAAACAACAATAACAACAACAAAACAACCTGCTGTTTCAGAATGTGAGAATCAGAATAGTCTAGGGGTTTGGAGTGGGCTTACATCCTAGGGTCACGTCAATTGGTCCATTTGCAAACACATGAACTGTGTGTAGCTCAACGTAGTACCCATGTATGAAGCAGGTACAGACATGGGTGCTGAGACAAAAGGACATTTGGTATTCAGATGGGCACATTCTGGAACTTACTTGGTCTTTCCGTTACCGTCTTGGAAGCTGCCGTGGGGATGGCTGTGAAGACAAGATGAGATCTTGAAGGGAGGATTTAGGAAGCCAAAGGCAGATCCTCAGATCAGTCTTCATTAAATACCCAGATCCACACTGATTCTTTCACATTGTCGCTTATGTAATAAGGAATGTCCTAAGTCAGATCCTCTATTCACAGCCATCTTATGTTGTGCAGAAATAAGAAAGCCAGCTGACATGACATACCCCTCTGCCTCCTCACCAAAAACATGACTACATAATTTGTGCTAAAATGCAGACATCCATAGACCATGTCTTTCTGGGAGGAACCCCCACCTTTACTTTCTTCTTGTGATGGCTAGTCTTAATTTCAACTTCATTTTCCTTATGAAGATATTTCTACCTTCTCAGTTAGCTTTATTTCTAAATATTTCATTTTTAGAAGCTATTATGAATGGGGGTGTTTCCATGATGTCTCTGTCATTATGTTTGTTATTGGTATGTAGAAAGTATATATCTGGTTTCCATAAGTTGATTTTGTATGTGTCACTTCACTAAAATTCTTGATCACTTCTAGAAGTTTTTTCTTTTGGCATGTTTGGGATTTCATGTTTGATGTCATCTGCAAATAGGAATAACTGACCTCTTTTTTCCAATTTGTATCACTATAATTCCCTTTTCTTGTCTTATTGCTTGAGCTAGTGCTTCAAGAAATGGGGGATAGTGGACACCCCTTTCTCATTCTGAATTTAATGGAATTGCTTTAAGATTTTCCCCATCTAGGATGATTTGGCTGTGAGTTTGTCATCTATAGTCTTTCTTATGATGAGGTAGGCTCCTTTCAGTCTTACTGCCTCTGGGACTTTTATCACAAGGGCATGCTAAATTGTGTCAAATGTCTTTCCTGAATCTATTGAGAGAGGGTCATGTAAATGTTGTTTCTAAATCCATTTATATGATTACATTTACAACTTACTTACATGTCCTGAACCATCCTGTACCTCTAGAGCAAAACCAACTTTATCATGGTGGATGACCCTTCAGACATGTGCCCTATTTGGTTTGCTAGTATTTAATTAAGCATTTTTACATCTACATTCACTGGGGATACTGGCCTGTAGTTTTCTTTTTAGCTATGCTCTTTCCTGGTTTTGTTATTAGAGTAACACTAATATTGTGGAATATTATTTTAAAGTGTGTTACATTTGTTTATGATGTGGAACATTTGTTTAATTATGCATGGATGTGTTGCATTCTTTTATGTTACATTTATTTAACTCTGGGAAGTTGTGTTACTTTGCCTGTCCAAAAATGGATGGGCGGGGATGTCAGGCAGAGAGAATAAAAAAAAAAGAGGAGAAATTAGGGGAGAAATGAAGTATGAAGTAACGAAAGGTATACAGAAATTGAGAAAGGTAAAAGCACAGAGGCAGAAAAGGTAGATGGGATAATTTAAGAAAAGTGGGCTAGAAACAAGCCAGGCTAAGGCTGGGAATTTGTAAGTAATAAGTCTCTGTGTATGTATTTATTAGGGAGCTAAGTGGCATCCCCCCAAAGAGCCAAAAGAAAAAAACAGCTACCACACTGACTTCATAGAAGGACTTCTGGGGGTGATCCTTCTGTTCCTAGTTTACTGAATAATATAGATCTCCTTACACAGTTTTGTAGAATCTCTCTGGGAATCTGGGAACTTTTTTGAGACCTTTTTTTTTTTATTACTGTTCCAATTTCCTTATTTCTTATGGGCCTTTGCAGGTTAGTGATCTCTTCTTGATTTAACTTTAGTGATTTGGAAGAATATAGAAATCTGTTCTTTCCTTTTATAAATTTATCTTAATGGAGTTTTCATCTAAGTTTTTTATCTTAGTAGATTTTTACAAAGTATTCTCTTATTCTGAGTTTCATTGATGTAAGCCATAATGGTTCCGTGTTCATTTCTGATTCTATTCATTTGGATAAACTCCTTTCTTTGGGTTAGCTGAGTCAAGGGTCTGCTGTTAGTTGAGTCTGGTTCTTAAAGAACCAGTTCTTAGATTTGCTGCTTCTTTGTTTTGTTTTCTTTGTTTCTAATTTTATCAATTTCTGCTCCTGATTTTTATCATTTCCAGGAGACTAGCTTCTGGGAGTATCTGTGAGGTCATTCGCACAGAGTTTTACCTCAACTGGGAAGATATCCTCTAGATGTAGGCCTTTTATAGGGCGAGGTCCAAGAATGAATGAAAAGGGGACCGTGTGCCGATCTCCTGTAGCCACATCTCTCTGCTTCCTGATTGTGGATGCAGTGTGAGCCCCATTGCTACAGCTAGAGCCACTCTCTCTGTCATGCCTTCTCAGCCATGATGGACTGTATGTACCTCGAACTGTGAGACAAAATGGACCTTCCTTCCTTAAGTGGCTTTTGTCAGGGATCGTAGCACACCAACAAGAAAAGTAACTGATGTGGTTTTGCTGTGTTAACTTCTAGATGTGGAGTATTTAATTAAGTATAGCTTATTATCTTTGTTTAAAGACAAGGAATTAGAAAATCAAATAGACAACTACCAGCCTAAAGTGACCTGATGGTTGATTACATGTAACATAGTGTGACCAGGCTTTAGATTTATGCAGAAAGCCTGCAGACAGAATCTCTCTGTCGTAGTGCACTTGTTCTAGGAATTAGAAAATAGGAACATGAGAGCAAAGGCTGACAGTAAAACCATCAGAAACACTGGACATGGTGGTGTGCTCAGGAGGCAGAGGCAGGCAGATCTCTGTGAGCTTGAGGCCAGCCTGGTCTACTAAGTGAGTTCCAGAGCAGCCAGGGATACATAGTAAGACTCTGTCTTAGAAAAAAAAAAGTACCAGGAGTAGTGGCAGAGGAAGAAACATGAACTAAAGATGATGATGAAGTAATGGCAAGAGAGTTGACTCACTGATCAGATATGGCGTCTTCGATGTCATCTCTGTAAAAGAAAGAAAGCTACGGTCAACAGTTGTTTGATGCCAGTTATGGAGTTTTATTTGACCCGTTCTTTGGTATCATCTCCTATGTCATACAGTATGTGTCGCCAATATGCTCAGTGAATTAGCCTGACACTTACTAAAGACCCTGGAGGTGTTCTTAGCATCATCTTAGACAAAACAGTTAGGAGACCTGCCTGGTATTTCTAGGTGGAGAGTAGTGCAGAACCCAGGTAATCAATTACTGAACTTCTGAGGCCTCAGTTTCTCCCTGTGTAAAAAGGGATGATCCATGCGTTTGTGTAAGCATAACACATGCAAGGAGCTTAAAATGCTTGAGAATGAATAATTAGTAATGGTCAGCTCACAATTGTTTTGAGTGATCTTGCTAACTTGTGTACACTGTGCTTTAACAGAGACCCTCAGCTTAGCTTCTGCCTTCCCAGCATGCACTGCATACCATTTCCAGCACTGATCTCAGTTCTCAAGTCCTCTTGCTGTTTCTCTCTGAAGGGGCTATACAATGTCACAAGCAAATTCAAAATTGATCTTCCCTGATGTTTTCCTTGGCATCTGCAGCCTATAGCGTTCCTGTCTTTTCCAATGCCCCTTTTGGATATTTATCTGTGTGCCCATGTAGCACATTCTAGTACACACACTATTTTATTGGCCTTGAATTAACATATTCTAGTTACCTTCTGATTGTATCTAGCATATTAATCTTGAATTCCTTATAGGTTGTGTACGAGTCTGATAGATGACCTAGAGGGAACATATTCCCTTCCTCTGTACAATCTAAAACACCCATCCGGGATGACAGTCAAAGTAATATCAGAAACGACTTCTTAGGGATTCTGCTTGTGTTGTGTGAAGCTTCACAACAGATTCGCCATCAGTCAAATGGCTTGTTCAAGGTCACAGAGCCAATGATGGCACATCAGCAGAAAACTCAGAGCTGTGACTCCATGCCATCTGCTTACCTTTGGCTTCAAAATAATAATAAGCCATGAAATTTTTCCCAATGTTGTTCATGCCTCGGAAGTACACAAGGGTCATCGAGCTGGAGTGGGAGGCGAAGGCCATATGGAACCCGCTGCAGGGTTTCCCCAGGGAATCCGCGGAAGATGGAGGGCCATCCAGGATTTCAAAATACTCGTTGGTGCAGTCAAGGCTGGGGAAGCAAATATCATGAATGCCTCTTAATCTCCTCATCAGAAAGCGGGGAGATGCTGTGTGAGCCCTGCTTTATTATCGGGGTGAGAATGCTGGGGACAAGCTCAAACCCTGTCTGTCATGTAGACACAGTACAGTCTTTTTATCCTGTATTTTTCCTTTAGTAAATACTATCTGAAAGAAATGGGATTTTCGTCTGATGGAAAAAAGAATATTGACTCTAGTGGACCCCCTGTTGAGGATTGGGAGGTGCTGTGACCACAGGGGACTTTAGTCTTATTCACTAGCTCATTAAGGCCATTTCACTATGGGATGCTAGGGAGGAAGGGTCTAAAATGAGGGATTTTAGGGTTTGGTTGTTCATGGGGCTGGTAACTGAATATAACTCCAGGTTCAAATCCAGTTCAGTCCAGTCCCTAAAAGATAAGTTTTGACATCTAGCCTGTCTAGAGGGACGTGGGCTACAGATCTGCCCCCATGGGTTGTGGGAGCTGTCTGGCTTTGTCAGCTGCTGCCTTTCTCTGTGAACTTCTGTGTGGTTGTCGTCAGTGCCAGAAGCAGACCGTGTCCACATCATCAGCCCACAGCCATCTATCCCAAACCATCTTTAACGTAAGCACAATTCAAGAAGCCTAAATGAATTGATGTTTCCTTGCGGTTCATTTAAATATCATGCTAACCCGCGAATGACTTCATTTTCATGTATTTACAATATTAAAATCTGAAATTTCCTCAGATGCTCTAGCCTTCCCCAGATAGCCAGAACACATTAAATGTCCGTGCATGTGTGTGAGTCCCTCTCTCTTCATCTCTCCTAGCCAAAGCCTGGATAGTGACTTTCTTTTCAATTAAAAATGCATGGAAGTATGAATATGATCAAAATGTATTGTTACATTTATGAATTCTCAAAAAGTATATGAAATATTACACGAAAAAGTAAATCTGCATGTCTTGGAAAAATTCATAAACACAGAGAAAGCAATCATATTTATACATATAATGAAAGTGTGAAAACAATATAATTCATAACCATTTCAACATCAGCAAAATGAAAGCAATATGTACAAGCATGCATACAAAAAGGTAGTATAAAATCTCACATGCTACCTAGGGCAACCTGAAGCCGGGTCACATGTGTTGCTGGTGGGAAGATGAACTGACAGTCTTTCTGGGAAAGTCTCTCTGTACTAAGAAATTAACTGTGTACTTCCCATGCAATGTAGTGATCACATTCTTCGGCATTAGTCCCGGACAAATGAACTTATATTGATGTAAAAATCTTCCTGAATGTTCTAAGAAGTTTTATTTGCAATCTTTGAAGACTGATAACAAGCTAGGTGTTCCTCAGAGGAGAAAGGATTGACCAACACTGGCTCAATCATATTAACAAAACCCTTTCCACAGTGAAGAGCATCAGCCCCTAAGTACCACGGCAACATGAATGGATATTAGGGGCACTGCACTGAGTGAAAAAAGCCAAACCTCTACCAAACTGTAAGCAATATGACTCCTCCACAGCACAGAACATCCTTGAAAGGACAACATGTAGAGCTGAAAACAGATCACAGTTAAGGGACAGAGATGGGGTAATCTGGGAAAATAAAAGGTGAATGGGTAGTTCCTTCGTGTAATGTGCCTGGAATGGAGCCGTGGTTTTGTGCAGCCATTCACAGGATTGAAGTGTGTGGAGCATTCCAGCCCCATCCTTACACAAGTAACTGCATGGTAAAATCTGGGAAACTAAGTATGAGGTTTGGTCCAGTTAACATTAACACCAATATTAATTTGCTCATTTTGATAATGTTCTTCCACTGGGAGATGCCTCAGAGGAGTACACAGGAATTACTTTTGCAGTCTCCTCTGTGTTCATAATTGTTTCAAAATAAAAAGCTCAAAATGCATAAAGGACTCTTTTGAATATGAGAATCAAGGTAGGGATGAACGGTTAGAAGAGTACTATACTTACACCGCAGGTATCACTTACTCAAGAGATGGGAACGCCAGCCTTATACGCTCAGAGGGATTCGCCCTGATTTCCCATACACAGGTTATGTTGTCATGCATTTCATTCATTGGGGGATTCTTGATTTTTCCAGGTGCTTTGGTAATAACACCACCACAGCGAGACCTTTCTAAAAGAAGAGAGAAACATGACAGCAAAACTGTACAAGACCACACCAGTCAACCTGCCGACACAGGTGTCAGAAAGGTTCACAGGGCCCCACCCCTAGCTGAAGGGCAGCAGGCAGTCAAGGGCTCCTGAGGGAGCATCATTATTTACTGATGAGGCCCCTGATAGGTTGCTCTTCTCAACTGATCAGCACAGATGGACAACACTAACTGGACCAGATAGGTAGATATATAGATAGATGGGTGATAGGAAGATGACAGATAGATAGATAGATAGATAGATAGATAGATAGATAGATAGTAACTAGATAGACAATAGACAGATAGGGATGTGGTATAGATTTGAGAGGTGGGTTTGGGGATCAAGGGAGGAGTTAGAAGGGTGAGGGTGGGGTGGATACAAGGCAACTTTTCTATACTCATTGTATGAAATTCTAAGAAAGGGACCTTTTGTAATCATTGTTCAGTTTACTAATTTTATAATTTACGCCTTTTCCAAAAAGAGGTTTTGCTGCTCAGCACTTGATGGGCATGTCTTAGGATTATTAAAGTTACAAACTGCTCTGAAGTATCTTCCATACTTAAGCTATTGGCATATATGTGTCTGAGTTCGAAACAGTTCTCATCTCTATGGAAACTTCTAGTTCCCTGCTAAGAAGACACACATTAATCAGATCTTTCCCTCTCGTTATTCCTTAGCCATAGGTTCTATTACTTTTGTCAGCCATGTCTGCCCATGCATATCTCATGACCTTACCAAGCCAATGAGCAAAGCACTGCTTTAGTTTTTCCAGTTCAGACTGAGCCTGTGTGGGACATCCACACATGTGGTGATGAAAGCAACTGGCCAGCCACCAACTGTCATTTCTTGAAATGATGCAATTAGATATATACTTTTAGTAGAAAAACATGGCCTGAGTCATCTACCCATCTGTTAGTGATAGTGTTTTACATCCACTGTCTGCCCATCTGTGTTTTTCACCTGGTTGTCTGTATGTCTGTTCCAACACTTAGTTCAATGGCAGTGTAAACAACTGGCTATCCTGTCAGATTTTCTGGCTGTGTGGTGACTGGCTCTACCTGCCAGGCACTTCAGGCATCGCTATCATTTTAGCTTTGTATCAACAAATGGTGCTGAGTCTATGCTATGCCTTCTGGAGGTTCTAGAACCCAGGACAACAGTCAAAACTGGAAAAGAGCGTATGATAAAGAAAGTGTGGTGAAGGGGAGTGCGAGGTAAAAGGAGGTAAAAGCAGAGAAGGCAAGGAGTCTCTTCACAGCGGGCCCCTTCTGAAATAATGGCTGTGGGTCCAGACTGGCAGCATCATTACACGAATGGCTATATGTCTAACCTTCACTCGTGGTGCTCTAGCTGGAGAACACAAGAATTGCCACCTTCCTTTGCTTGGAACTCCTTTAAGTGGCTGGAAATAAAATCGTATCCCTAAGTACAATAGCCTTTTCTTTGTATTCTTCACGTAGAACAATTTCAATGGGGTGACCTAAACTAGGTAGGAGCATTCTGGCACAGTTTCCTTGAAGAATCTTTAAGGCTGGAGCATAAGAAAGAGCACATTGAGTTCTTACCTGAAACCATGGTTTCATCCATGACAACGAATGAGGATTCTGCCAGACACACACAAAAAAAAAAGAACATGTGGACCAACAGCCGACACAGCACACCTGTCTGTGCATGAGAAGACTGAGGAACTCATGGCAAACACAGTGCCTCAGGCCCTCCAAGATTGCTAAACCAGTTCCTAGAGGAATGACCTGAGCATTGTAAAGTCACATGGTACAATACTCAAAGCAGTTCTAGCTGACAAGATCTCTCTTAGACTTTGGTGTATTATTCTTTTGCCACACATAAAAATATAATCATTGTAAAATTAAGGGTTTAAAATAAAAACCAAAGACATGGAATTCTAGCTCCTAAAGCCTCAGTAACCCAAGGTTCTGGGGATTGTAAGCCTAGGATGTAGGAATAAGAACACACAGCACTTCGAGGACCAGAGTGATGACTCTCGTCAAGCCCAGGACCCTGAGCTTAATCTCCAGAGTCTGTGTACAAAAAGCTGGGCTTAGTGACACACACTTGCAATCCTAGCGCCAAGGAAGTAGACACAGTTGGGTTCCTGAAGCTCACTGACCAGCCATCCTAGTCTAACCACTGAGCTCTTGGACAATAAGAGTCCTTGTCTCAAACAAATATGTAGATGATAGACAGTGCCTTGAGATTGTCCTCTTCCTCTCCCTCCTTCCCTCCCTCCCTCTTTCCTCTCTCTCTCTCATACATATATACACACACACATACACCCAAACACATATGTGCATGTGCACCTACATACACAATAGCACAATCATACACACACACACATACACACAAACACATATGTGCATGTGCACCCACATACACAATAGCACAATCATACACACACACACACAAACACATATGTGCATGTGCACCCACATACACAATAGCACAATCATACACACACGCATACACACATTCAGCTTTCCTTTGACTCAGTGTTGCTAAGAGATACTTAGTCTGGTCTTAAAGATGCAGGGGCTCCTCCAGGCTCCCAACATCTCCCCTCTATCAACCCCCAACTCACATCATCCATTGCAGATTATCCTTCTGCATCAAATTTTTCCCACTTGGCAAGGTTGACAGCTAGTTGAGGATGTAACCGAAACTTTTCCAGACCTTGGGACACCCAGCCTTATTCCTAATTCACTCTCTGGCTGAGACTTATCTAAGAGCATGACAGTAGGAAACCTCAAGGTCTGATGAGAAAGGGAGAGACTGGGCATGGGACAAAGGATCACCAATAGTGATGGAAGCTTTCTGGGGCCAGGCTGTACCAGGAACAAGGCAGAGACATGGAATAGACATGGGAGCTGCCTCACTGGGACAGAATTTGTCTCCCTAGCCATTCCCCACTTAAAGGAAGTGCCTTGGCCAGATCTCACATTTCAACTATGTCCTACCCATCCATTGGTCTCTATCTCTATGCACCTCATAACTGACTGAGCAAAGTGTTCTAAAGAAGCCTGCATAATCAATTATCCTGTGTGTAGGATGCAAAGCAGAGGCAGTGAAGGGTAGTGGGGCTGGGCCAGATGACCTTGAAGGCACTGTCTACTCTCCTCTTGGACAATCAGGTGGTTACAGGTCTTGTCTCTCTGCTGCTCCACTGCCTCAGAGAATAAGACAAACCCAGTTTCCAGCAGAACCTCTTCCCCAAGCCTTCAGCGAACCACACACATAAACATCATCTTCCCTACCTGGTTGTGTCCTTGCTACATAGTCAGCATCTACAAAAGTGAGACATGAAAACAGCCGTGGTGAGAGAGTGGCCTGCTGGCACGTGTTCAGTGGTTATTTTTACACATAATGCAATACTTAGCTCATCTTCGTTGTGAACATAACTGGATTTGGAACCTCCTTGGAGACACCTATGGACATGCCTACAAGGGTGTTTCCAGAAAGGTTTAGCTGAGGAGGGAAGACTACAATCTTCTGGGTGAGGGGTCCCAGGCTGAATAAAAAGGATACATGTATAAAGAACTCCTCTGTCTGGTCTGTGACATCAGATGCAATGGGACAAGTTCATTCACACTTCCACCACAATTGCAGATTTTGTCCCCAAATTGTGAGTCAAAATGTAACCTTTCTTCCTTCTGGTTTTTTGTTTTGTTTTGTTTTTTTTTTTTTTTTTTTTGTATTTTGTTACAGCACGGAGACCCGTAACTAAGATAGATGTGAAGGGTGTCCTCTTGGAAAGGCTGAGACTAGGCTCTAAGGGGCATGTGGCTTTACCTGAACAGATGACACCAGCATCTTCAGTGTGGTCACAATTGTGGGAGAACCAGCCAATGTGGGAGCATTCCTCCAGGTGATCCTCATGTCCCTTGCAATGCACGTTGTCAAGAAGAATCTTCCCGGAACCTTCCCCAAAGTAAGCTTCGCTCAGGGCAGAGATAGCCCAGCCACACCCTAGTTGCCTGCAGATGATGTTTGCTTCTGGCAGATCCCAGAGGTCATCACACACAGTCCCCCAGACTCCCTGGTAGAAGAGTTCTACACGGCCCGCACATCTCCCATGGTTGCCTGCCAGCCGCACAGGGAGCCAGTCTCCTAGGGAAGAAAAAGGAGGCAGGTAGTAATAGTGCCTTCTCAGCCCACTGATGACTATTGTCTACAACCTAGTCTCTTTTCTTGTTTTCCTTGCCTGCCCAAAGCAGTCTATGCAATTACCCTACTGTGTCTATAGAACCTGTGGTCTTTTCCTTATCTACATCCTGTTTCCAGACAGCTTCACTGTGAAGAGTCATTTGCAGAAACAGCTGTTGTTCTCTTTCCTTATTCTCTTTACAATGTGACCCTGAGATGCTCCTAGCTAGAAGATAGGTTTCTATCCTCCCCTGTTGGCATTGTGCTTGGGGTCTTTGGTTCATCTTGACTTTGAGGGCATGCAGACGTAGCTTACGCCCTGGGCACCCCTGGAGCATCATGTGACTAAGCTCAGGTGAGCATGCTGGATGGTGAAGGACATGGAGCTGGCCGTTGTATTCACTTCATTGGCAGTTATATTGCTTCCAGACACGGAAGGGAGCCAATGCTAGGATCGACATCTTCAGCCAAGTTTCCAGTGAGCCACTTGCATGAGGAAACCAAAGCCACAGGCAGCAAGTCTGACCTAACACAGCAGTACCGCCCAGCTAACTTCCAAACTCATAAGCAATAGTTTACAAGGGGGAGTTCTTTCATACCTCTGTGTTTGGGGGGTGGTTTACATGGTAATAGGTAACATGAACATTTCTTTATCCAGATCCCTTTCTAGAATCTGCTGTGCTTGGAACCTAAGGAAGCACTGGATGTAGGTCACATATCCTGGAATGGAGTCTGCCTGGTCAGGATGACAAGAGTTGTTCACATGGGCTCTAGAAGAACCAGTGCTCAGCTGACCTGGATCAGACTCTATTTGGATATTTGGAATAAGAAAGAGAGCGGTGTGGTATAGGGGCAGAAACTTCCCATGTGGGTAGCCATACATCATACAGAAAGGTAAGTTAAGAGAGAAGTTTCTTAGGGTAGTGACTGATAGCCTGGGATGAGGTTATACACCTGTAATCTCAGTGCTTGGGAGGCTGAAGCAGGTGGGGTCTTCCCATGGAGTTTCAGGCCAGTCTGAGCTATAGACTTAGACCTTGTCTTTAAAAAAAAAAAAGTAAAAATAGAAGTGGTATACCTGGATCATATGGTAATTTTGTTTCTTTTTTTTATTTCTATCTTTTTTTCCTTAAATTTCCAGAGTGATTTCTAAAGTTTCTTTAGTAGTTTACACTTCCACCAACAGTGTGCCAGGGCCCCCATTTGACCACACCCATGCCAGCATTTGTTGTCCTCTGTGTCCCCGATGATGGCCATTCTGACTGGGGTGAGGTGGAATCTTGAAGTAGTTTTAATTGGCATTTCTCTGGTAGCTAAGGGTGTTGCCTACTTTTTGAAGCATTTACTGGCTGCAAGCATTCCTTCTTTGGAGACCTTTATGTATCTTGCTACAGTCACTTGCATGTCCATGTGCACTGCCACTGAGTTCCCAATAGCTGGTAATGGAGTCAACCTAGATACGCATTGACCGATAGATGCATACTATGTACTCCATGTACATAACTGGGCATGACTCTGCTCTCAGGAAATCATGAAAATGGCAAGTAAATTGATGGAATGGGGAGATTACACCAGGCCCCCGAAAGACAAATGTTGTAAGTTCTCATTCACATGAAAAATCTAGCTTCAAATCACGTGTTTTATGAGTTTATCCTTGAGTTCTCATGAAATCAGGAAATTAGAAGGCCAGTTTATGGACTGATGCATTTAGTGAGAGGGGAAATCAATTATAGGTGCAATGAAGGGGGGGGGGTGCTGAAGTCCTAAAGGTGAAAGAAAGCTCTCTCTGAGAAGCTGGCCCTACCTAGGCTATCTAAGAAAGCAACCTAAGCATGAACCTGATCAAGCAAGGAACCTTGATTTCTGCTTCAGGATCCATCCGGATATCCTGCCCTGACTTCCTTCAGTGATAGACCATAACCTGCAACTTGACATAATCCCCTCCCCCAAAACTGCTTCTGGTCAGAATGTTTTTATCACTGCAACAGAAAAGAAACTAAAATGCCACGCAGCACAAAGATCTCTCTCTTCTCCCTTCTGAAAGGGACACGCTCGGGAGGAAAAGCAAAACGACCAACCTGATGGTTTGTATGGTTTGGGATCTAGTCCTGGAGTGTGGTCTGGTGAACTGTCGGCACCTTGGGAGTAAAGAATATCAACGTGAAGGTCTACAGCAATGTTTACACTATGGTCACAAAAACTTGAAATAGGAGCTCTGCTACGTCCTTCCACCATGACAACCTGCCCCTTACTGCAAGTCCCAAAGCAGGGGAGCCCATCCACTTATGAAACTTTAAACCAAAATTAAGCCTTTCTCTCTTAGCTTTTTCTCCCAGTCACATCATCTCAGAAAGCATTCGACACACCAGCTGTCAGTTAGGCACTGCATATGCATAGCCATAAGCATGTATCATGAGACAGGGAAGTCAATCACATCATCTGACTTAATGGGGAGACTCATTTTTGATGATGGTGATGATGATGATGAAGATGATGGTGATGACAACTTTGATGGTGATAGTGAAGATGACAATGATAAGGCTGATATTTCTGTTTCTATTTGTTAGGATGAGAAATGATCCTTTGAAATTATATTTGAAGACAGCAATTTTCAAAGTATAGCCCCCAGAGCAGCACTGTCAACATCCTAGACTTGTCAGGTAGGCAAACTGTGGTTTGAATGAGAATGGCCCCCAATACGTTCATATATTTGAATGCTTAGTACCAGGGAATGAAACTTAGAAGGATTAGGATGTGTGACTTTGTTGGAGCAGGTGTGGCCTTGTTGGAAGAAGTGTGCCACTGGGGAGTGGGCTTTGAGCTTTCAAGATCCTGTGCCAGACCTAATCTCTGACTCTCCTCCCCTCTCTTCCCTTCCCCTCCCCTTTCCTTTCCTCCTCTCTCCTCCCCTCTTCTCTCCTCTCTTCTCTTCTCATCTGCTCTCCTCTTCTCGCTCTCTCTGTCTGCTGCCTCTGGATCAGGATATAAAACTCTCAGTTGTTGCTCTAGCACCATGCCTGTCTGCTTTCCATCATGAAGATCATGGACAAACCCTCCAAAACTGTAAGGAGGTCCCCAATCAAATGCTCTCTTTTATTATAAGAGTTATCTTGGTCATGGAGTCTCTTCGCAGCAATAGAACAGTAACCAAGACACAAATCATTACACAGTACCCTAGACCTACTGAGAAAAGCAGACAGTAGTGTTGTTGGTTGTTTTTAATACTCTTTAGCTCTTTGGGGGACCCAACACCCAGATCCCAGATAAATCACACGGAGTCTTATTTTTTCTTATAAATGCCCGGCTTGAGCTTGGCTAGCTAGTCTTAAATTAGCCCATCTACCTTTTGCCTCTGGGCTTTTGTCTTTATCCTATACAACTCTCTTTACTGCTTACTTCATGCCTTGCTGTGTAGTTGGGTGGCAGATCCCTGGAGTCCTCCTCCTCCTCTCACTCTTAGATTTCCTCTTCCCAGATTTCCCCTTCTATTTATTCTCTCTGCCTGCCAGCCCTGCCTATCCTTTTTCCTGCCTTGCTATTGGCTGCTCAGGCCTTGACTAGACCAATCAGGTGTTTTAGACAGGCAAAGTAACACAGTTTTGCAGGTAAACAAATGCAGCATAAAAGAATGCTGAACATCTTTGCATTATTAAACAAATGTTCCACAGTATAAACAAATGTAACACATCTTCAACTAGTATTCTGCAAGAGGGGAAGACCCAGCAATGTGTGTTATTATAGGTCCTTCACGTGCTTCAAAGTTTGAAGGCACTGCACTATGATGAAGGGGTAGAGTGGGGTTAAGATGGCCTCATGGTATTTGAGTGGTTGAGACACTCTGAAATCATATACACACACAACTTTTCAACTGTGGTTATCTCTTGACAGACGTTAAAGGTATTGTTTATGATCTAACAATTCTGGAAAACAAAAATAGTCATTACTCTCAAATAAGCACATGTGGAGTGCTGAGCTGACTCAGTGGGTAAGCACATGTGGAGTGATGAGCTGGCTCAGTGGGTAAAGGCGCTGGCTGCTGAGCCTGAGAAGCTATGCTCAATCCACGGGCTTCACTTTGTGAAGGGAAAGAACTGACTTTTAAAAACTTTCGTCTGTCCTCCACACAGATAGCATGGCATGTATACACACACACACACACACACACACACACACACAGAGAGAGAGAGAGAGAGAGAGAGAGAGAGAGAGAGAGAGAGAGAGAGAAATATAAATTCCAAATAAGCAGTTTGAAATCCCTGCTGTTCACATTCTCAGCAGAGTGTATTTTGGAGGCCAGAGCTATTGCTGACTGTGTGTATGGCTGTAGGTCCACCCCTGGAGCATGGGGTAACTTCACAGTTACCACATTGCTGAAGAAAACTGACTCTGCCCCCACATCCCCAACAGTTACCAGATACCAGCAGCTGCTCAGAAAGAGATGGAACTTCAGAAGCCCCTCCCACATCCGTGCTGGAATTGTGTCTGGATTGGTGTTGCGCAGGTCTTGTGTAAGCATTCAAAGCTGCTGAGCCCGTGTGTATAATAACAGTGCCATGTCAAGCCAACACTGTTTTGCTGTTATCTACTACCTCTAGCTCTTATGATCTTTTCATCCCCTCTTCTACAATGACCAGGGAACCTTGTGGGGAGGAGGCATGAGAGAGCTGTTCCATTTAGAGCTGGGCACTCCACAGTCTCTTATTCTATGCACACTGACAAGTTGGAGGTCTCTGTATTGTTATCTACTATAAAAGAAAACTTCTCCGGTGAGGATTGGAAGATACACTAGCATATGATATAAAGGTAAGAACTTGGGGGCCAGTTTATTACCATATAATAATATTAATACTGTAGTAGTAATAGTAGTTTTTCCCTAGAGCCTGTGACCTAGACGGTTACATGTGTGTTTATTTGTTTATTTATTTACTTACTTATTTTGTCTATTAATGGTACTAGGCATGGATGGCTTCCATCTTGTGGGTGGGCTTTAAGTCTAATAAGAAAGGGGTTGGTTAATCCCATGCCCTTTGGGTTACTACTGCACCAATGGGGCATATCTTGCCAGGCTAGTTGTCATTGTAGCGCACACACTTCACAGCTAGGGATGACTTTTGATTACTTTTCTCTCCCATTAGCATGCAGAGCGCATTTCAGAACTAGGAAAGCTAGCCGACGGGGATGGACGCTTCTCCTTGAGCTGGCTCATTTCTTGGTAAGGATGGAAACCAGTCAGATGAAACATAGGCATTGAACACATCGAGGTAATGGCACAGGGAGGTTGTGAGGGGATCTGTTTGTGGTGTGTGTGTGTGTGTGTGTGTGTGTGTTCTGAACTTTACAGCATTTCCCCAGAAGAGCAAGACCACAAAGGTTGCAGGTGCCAAAGTCCTCTGGGGCGGGGGTGGGGGGTGGGGGTGGGGGCTTTAGGTGTCAACTGATAGCCAGGTATGGAGGATGGCGAGTCCTCCCACTGTGGTGTTTTCTCCTCCACTTCAGCAACCTGCAGCTACCCTTCCGCTCCCCCTTGAGCTCCTGACGATCCCCAGCTGTGGATCATGGGATGCTCTCTTACCTTGGAGGCTGAGCTGTGCCCTTCGACTAAGGGGCAATGAATCGACCACAGGTGGAACTGGAATGATATGGAAACAGGCGTGAGAACTGAAGGTCCTCCTCTAAGACAAACACAGGATGCATCGCAGAAGGGTTCCACTAGGACCTGACAAGGACCACAGCTTGGTCTCACCTTAACCCATCGCCTGGACTCATAAACTGCTTGATTTTTAGTGAAACCCGAGCCAAGGTCAGAAGGCTGACAGAAAGCTACCCAGCAAGACCCTGCAGTCCTAAATACTTCTCTCCTCTTCATCCCGTATAGACTCCAATGACGATCCCTGGTGTTAATAAGGGCAGTCATTGAGAAACTGGACAGGTGTTAAGAAAGCCACAGTATCCATGAGAACACTGGTTGTCAACCAGAGAGGACATTATATAATCTGGTGACTCATCTGCTCCATAGTTCATCTAGCATGGCAGGACTGATGATGGAGGCAGTGCTCTTACCTGACAGGACACTTGGTGACTTCTCACCATCCAGCGATCCTAAAACACACACAAAACATTTGTCAGAAGCGACTTTTTTATCCATTTGCTCACTTGCAAAACATTAACAGCACTCTCTAAAGAAGGAATTATACAAATCAGGTTCCTCACATTATACAAAGTGATTTACTTCTGTGTCCGTCTGTCTAGCAGGATTTGGAGTCAAAACCTGGGGTGGGGGGCATCAAAAGGAGTCAAACGACTGTCTACTCCGCGTCCATTTGATTTGTTCAGTCCGTACTTCTTTGGTGTCTAACGCGTGGCAAGCATTGTGTAGGGACAAAAAGATAACGGGCAGCACAGATGAGGACCCCTCTTTGGGGTTAAAGTGTGGCACTGCAGGTGACTTTGAGCATCACACTTTCGCCTTTTGTCCCTTAGCAGTGCATCTGCCCCCTCCCTGGAGATCAGCCCATCCGTTCTGCAGGTCTAGAAGGCTGGACGTGGCACATGCCACACCCCAGTTTTATTGTTTTAATCCATGACTCATTGACCTACCTGATGGTGCGGGTGGGTGGGTCATGTCCTCTTTCCAGTTTGGGGAGTTGGGGAAGCGATTGGAGAAACAGGACAAGGAAACTGGCTTGGGGGTGTTTAATAGGGAGGAGAATGAGGAGGACCTTTTGTTGGTTCAAGTTTTCTGCAAAATAATTGATTACCTTTCCATTCAAATTTTCTAAAAGAAACCACACAGCCTTGATGATACCATGTTGGACAGGATGTATTGGATTTTCTGTGGTTCAGTGAAATATCCAGAATAGGCAAATAAATGCATAGAAGCAGAAAGCTGGAGAATGGCAGTGGTTCAGGGAGAAGGGCCAGGTGGCTGTGGCTAGTAGCAGGGAATTGTACGTCAACTGTTTATCTGCCTCAGAGCAGGGCCACGCTCCTAAACCAGGTCACACCAGAAGGCATTAGCCATGCACCAGGCTCTCTGCTAAAAGCCCTAAAGATTCCCCAGCTTAGTCCTTCTAACAGTGGCCAAAAGAAATGGTTGTCCCATTTTCAGAAGAAATAAGTAAAGTACAAAGAGGTGACAAATCATTATGAGGCCCATGGGGGTTGGAGGCAGTAGAGTTAGGTCCAAGTCCAGCATCCAGGAGTCAGCTGTGAGCAGAGTGATGTCGTCTGAATAGGCAGAGAGTTAGGTCCAAGTCCAGCATCCAGGAGTCAGTGCTGAGCAGAGTGATGTCGGCTGAACAGACACAGCTTCTCGCTTTCTGATTTACCCTTCATCAGTCACTCAGATGAGAGTGTCAAGAATTTTAATGATCTCTCTCTCTCTCTCTCTCTCTCTCTCTCTCTCTTTCTCTTTCTCCCTCTCATTTGGAAGTGAACCACAAATGTAAACTATAAACAGCTAAGGGGTCTGAATTCGTTACAGAATTTATTTATTTATTTATTTATTTATTTATTTATTTATTTGATACTTCTGCCCAGAAAGACAAATATGATCAGTGCCTAGCTTAGGCATCAGCAGAGAAGCTTCCTCCTGCAGCAGATGGGAACAAATACAGAGACCCACAGCCAGATGGTATGCAGAGAGTGACAGGCCTTAACCACTCAGCCCTAAGTGGTGAGTCTCTATCAAATCCCTCTCCTCAGGGCTCAGGGAACTCCAGAAGATGGGATGGAAAGATTGTAAGAGCCAGAAAGAATGGAGGACACCAGGAAAACAGGACTCTAAAGCAACATGAGCAAAGCTCATATAAACTCACAGAGACAGAGGCAGCATGGATAGGGCCTGCACAGGTCTACACCAGGTCCTCTGTGTGTATATTACGGTTTCCAGTTTAGTGGGTTTTTTGTTTTGGTTTGTTTTTTTGTTTTGTTTTTTTGTTTTTTTTTGTTTTTGGTTTGTTTGGATTTTGGTTTTTTGAGATTTTTCTTTGTTGTTGTTGTTTGTTTGTTTGTTCTCTTTTTTCTCTTTTTGGTTTTTCGAGACAGGGTTTCTCTGTAGCTTTGGAGCCTGTCCTGGAACTAGCTCTTGTAGATCAGGCTGGCCTCGAACTCACAGAGATCCACCTGCCTCTGCCTCCCAAGTGCTGGGACTAAAGGTGTGCACCACCACTGCCTGGCTCAGTTTAGTGTTTTGATGGGATTCCTGGATGTGTGAAAGAGTGGGTCTCGGGTTTTGTACCTTCTTTTGGGCTCTTTTCCTTCTTTTTGTCTTGTCTGACTGCTGTGTGATGTTTTTGTTTTATCTTACTCTATTTTATTTTGCTATATTATTTTTAAAAAGCATTTTAATATGGCTTCTCTCTTTTGTTTGGAAGTGGGCACACAAACATAAACTGACAGCCAAGGGGCCTGCATCCATTATAGAAATTTCTTATTTATGTATTTGATATTTTTGCTGTGGAGTGCTGGTGTGTGATTGTCGTGCATGCTAGGCAAGTGCGCTCCCTACTGATCTACATCACCAGACTCTACAGGACATTTTTGTCTGTTTGTTATAGAAATATTATATTTAATAACCTTGTAAGGAAATTTTACAGATAAGAAAACCCGATCCTCTCAGTGGTTAAATCACAGGGTTAGAAAACTGTGAAGGGTCAGATAGTAAACAGCTCTGCTCCTACAGGGCAAAAGCTGCCATAGATGATATGTAACTTACTGTTCCAATAAAACTTTATTCATAACTAGCAGGCGATGGGTTATAGTTTGCTAATGTCTAGTTGTAAAGATGATTGACACAAGGCTCAGACCTGAGTTTCTTGCCTTGCCCAGGATCTTTGAGCCCTCGGTCCAGGATGTGCTGATGGCTCCCTCTTGCACACCCTTCCCCCTGGGCACCATCCTTGCCCAGCTTCACGTCCTCTCTTGGGTTCCTCATGGAGAGCTCAGGCTTACTGGGTCCAAGAACTTTGATTCCTTTCTCCTCTTGAGCAAGACAGGGCTGGGTGCCTGCTGCTCAGAGATTGGGGATCTGCCTAGCCTGAGCACCTCCTGATACAAACAGAAAGAAAGTAGTGGAGAGAGTTCTGTGGAGAAGAACCCATAGAGATCCTGGTCTCCGCACAGATGGGGTCGGTTTGGGCCTTAGGGAGATGACAAGGACCTGGGTGGGGGGCTTGCGGCTCACTCCTGCAGTTGTGAGGCACATCAAGAAGTTCTGCCACTTGTGAGGCAGGCAGGGAGCCCACAGCTACCCTGAATTAGGCTTGGCTCTCCCAGGCTCCAAGGCCATGAGAAATAGCTTCAGTATTTTTACCGCTCATCTTGTGGTGTTTTGTTTTAGCATCAGACAGACTAAGACAGACATCCTGGAGTGAACGTCCACACCCACCATCGTGTGCCAGTGCTGTCCACCTTGCAGCTTCTTGTCACCAGGACTCACAGAGAACTAAGGGTTTTGAGGCATCTCCAAGGCAGGAAAGATTCCTCATTCACTATTCAGGGTATCTGGGTGCCCTTCCTCCCTGCGTCTGGAGCTCCCAGGTGGTTTTGGAGGACCATGCCCAATCTTGACCACTATATGCCTTTTAACCCCACAGATCAGACAGACTCTTTTTGAGGTATCTGCCCCGTGTGTTTTTTTGCGATTGAATTACTGTGGGAACCTGGCAGGACAGAAACCTCAGTTAACAGAATGGCATGCCAATGTGGGGCTGACCAAATCCACTTAAAAGCCTGAGAGATCTTGGGAAGTTATTCTAGATAGAATAGAGTTAAGCATGGCTTCTTGATAGCTTTATTTTAATGTGGGCTCTGCTTGCTAGAAGTAAGCACTGTCATTTAAGAGAGGTTTCCTGACTCAGCTTTAGCTGAAAAACCTTGCAGCTATTTTAAGAAATCCTGCCAACAAACTCTTAAATGGTATTGATGAAAAGTTAACTGTATACTTTTTGGTGGTGGCAGGGAATTTGAAACATCATAGAATTGTGGCAATAAACATAGCTCCATCCAGTACCTCTGCCGTGAGGCTAGACTCTCAGAAAAAAGCTAAGGAATGGGCTGCATCCAGCCGTCAAAGCCATGGCTTTAATCCTAGCCATATCTCTTAGCAAATTAAAGACTCAAGTGGTCAAAAAAAGAGATAGATACAGTAAATATAGAGTCAAAGACAAAGAAAACCTCTAAACAGTTTACTGGGTGCTTAAAAATATATGTAGGTTTTGGAGGGGAAAAAAAGATAAGGTCCATAAAAGAAAAAAAGAGAGTAGTTGGGTGTGGTGGCACAATCCTTTAATTCCAACACTTGGGAGGCAGAGGCAGGAGGAACTCTGTGAGTTCAAGGACAACCTGGTCTACAGCGTGAATTTCAAGACAGCCAAAGATACACAGAGAAACCCTGACTCAAAAAGCCAAAAATTAAAAATAAAAATAAAAGAAATAGAGTTTAAAATAAAGCCACATAAAGATGAAAAATACACAGAGAGTCTGGATACTGTATGTTATTGTGTTGTCTTCAAATTGTTTGATGACTGAGGAAGGAACAAAAGCTGCTAAAAGACATTTGATTATAAATGCTGCTGGATTAATCCAATATATGTATTTTGAAAATGCTTTGACTTTAAATTTTAAGTCAAAAGATATGTTACTTTGGAGAAGAGGTTTTTCTTTTGTTTCCACAGGAAATGAAGGACTGTGGATTCATTTTGAGTTAAGAAAAATCAGGTTTGACCAAGGTTGACTCCCTGAGAAATCTCCAATAGGAGGAATGACCCAGATGTCTGAGTTCTACATCCAGAATAGTTCAAAGACTGCTGCCTGAGATGATCAAGCCTCAGAGGATACTCCAGTTAGGACTTTATCATAATTCTAAATTTTCTTTAGGTCCCCATAAGATTATCAGCACCCCCAATTAGCAGGAAGTATCCTGGAAAACTATGCTCACATTCCCAAAAAATGGATTATGGATGTTTTTCTTTGTTTAGAGTGTTGGTTACAATTTGTATGGATAATGGTCTGGACAAAAAGCTAAACAAAGGATATTAGATTCAGAGTTCTTGTTTTGAAAAAAAGGGGGGGGGTGCTGTGGGACAATGGTTTTACCCTGTAAAGATTTGTTTCTTGTACTTGTTTAATAAAATGCTGATTGGTCAGTAACCAGGCTGAAAGCATAGGTGGGGCTACCAGACAGGAAGTAAAGGTGGGACAATGAGAACAGGAGAATTCTGGGAAGAGGAAAAGGTCAATCAGCAGTTGTCACCCAGACACAGAGGAAGCCAGACACAGAGCAAACAAGATGTGACTGCCTCGCCAAAAAAGGTACCAAGCCACATGGCTAAGACAGATAAAGAATTATGGGCTAATATAAGCTATAAGAGTTAATAAGAAGCTTAAGCTAATAAGCCAATTAGTTTATAATTAATGTAGACCTCTGTGTGTTTTATTGGGACTGAATGACTGTGGGAACTGGGCAGGACAGAAACCTCAATCAACTCTCGGTAACCACACAAACCCTGTAGAAGAAAGGGCCTGCCTTTTAGCAGCTCTGACACACTATGAATTACACAACTCACATTTGAAGTATTAAAATGGCAGTTTCTATAGACGATGAGATAGCATCACCTGTCACAATGATAAATAAAGTTAGACTGTAATGGTGACTCCTGCTCACTACAACCGGAAAGAGGTGAGCCTGTGACTCACCGGCTTAGGGGAAATTAAAGTTTCTTATTTCAGATTCTTCCTTGACATTAGCCAGGTGTTCTATTTTATTTTCTAAGTTCAAAGAGTGTGAAGTGACCCTTTGGTCATTTCTCTTTCTCTAGCACAGGCATATCCTTTCATCTTAGACTTTTTCTTTGTGAAATGTAAAGCTTTGAGTTCCAGTGTTCTTTGACAGTAATTGCAGACAGACAAACATAAAGCTGGCCAGTGTTGAGTACAGACAACCCTAGTCCCCTTCCCCTCAAATCACATGATCTCCGGTGAAGCTGGTGGTCTCATATAATAACCTTTGCCACAACTTAAAGACAGTAAATTCAGTGACAGTGATGGGGTCCTACCTGATGCAGTGGAACTTGAGGCCAGTTTAGAAGATGGTTGAGTTGAGATGGCAGCAGGCAGAACTGGAGTAAAAAAATATTTAACAATAATTGTTCATGGTGATTCAAGGACGGTTTGGTATTCAGGGCTCCCTGCGACTTCACATGGTACAGCTTGCCACAATTCTAAAGGCCCACTGCATAAGTGATAAAAACACTAACCTACCTCTTAGCCATTAATCCTCCAACCCCTAGATCAATCAATGTTCCTTATCCTGTCCCTGCTAGGCTTTAAGCCCAAATACAGGTATTCAATGTTCTTCTGTGATAATTATATTCTCTCTAAGAATTGGTCTGATGGTACAGAACTTCAAGATCTCTTATTTGCTTCTTACGGTGATTTTACTCAGTGTTCCATTACTGTAGATTTGTTAATAGGTTTTATTCTACCTGTAGGCATCACACTGCCTGTAGGTGCTGTACTATAGTTGTCACTCTGTTTTTAGGTGTCATGTTATCTCTAGGTTTGTACTAGTGTGTAGGTATTGCAGTGTGGAGCTCACTAAACTATCTGTTGTCACCCTATTGATTGTCAACTTAACAGAATCTAGAATCGCCTGGAAAATGGACCTATGAATATGCCTATGAGATGTTGTCATAACTGCATGAATTGAGATGGGAAGACCTGCCCACTCTGGGTAGCACCATTCCCTAGGCTGGGATGCTTCACTGTGTAAGTAAAGAGAGGGAGCTGAGCAGCAACATGTACTCATCACTCTCTGCTTCCTGATTATTGCTGTGACCTAACCAGCTGCTCCTGCCACCTTGATTTCCACGCCATGATGAACTGCACTGTGAACTGAGAGCCAAGTAACCCTTTCTCCTTTAAATTGCTTTTGTCACAGCAACAGAAAGAAACTAAGAATCTTTTCCACCATGATGACTATACCTCTAAACTGTGATCCAAAAGAAACCCTCCTCCTTTAAGTTGCTTCTGTCAGGTGTTCTGTCACAAGGATAACACTAACCCAGAAATGGATCTTCCTTTTCAAGACCTTCCAGAATAAACAGAGCCTAAATGATGCTTTTCTTTTAGCTAAGGGAGACCGAGTTTAGATTTAGAAACTCTAAAACTATAAGACAAAAGAACCCATGCATTATTTCAGTCACTAAATGACGACAGTTTGCTGATGTCGTTGCAAACGTGCACAACAGGCTAACATCATGAGTGAGCAAATGAGTTTCCCTCTGAAGAAAATTTAAAACATGACATTTGCCAAAATTGAGGGAGCATGAGAACTCCCAGAGCAACTGGTCAAACTGCGCTGAACAACTAATTATGAAACTTATATAATCAAAACATTTTCTACTATTTTCCAAAAAATACAAGTACCATAAGCTATCTTTTAGGCAGCTAGTGAATCTATTGTAGCGACATTCTGGAGATCATTTGCACACAAATTCAATATCCAGGCCAGGTCAGGACAAATCTCTTGAGGGTACAACTGAAAACCTACTTGTTCACCTTCTTCTCTCCTGGATTGGATGGGTAACTAACTATACATGCCCAGGGGAAGCAGCAGTAACAATTATGATAATAATAATAAATCACTCACCTAATAATATGTTTCCTGGATTTTCACCACCTAGTAATACAAATAAATCAAGATATTTCTTATTCAATTCAATTAGTGATTTTTTTTTACTTGGCATATTTATTAGTCTAATGTGATAGGTCTGAAATACAAAATGGGAAATCAATTCCTGGTGAAATAATACAGGCTCTGGGGATAAACAGGATCTGAGAAATACTTGCTGAGTTGTTTGCTTTGAAGATTTTCTAGGTTAAAGCCTTTACAGGTGGCTCTTTGGAAGAAGTGAGGGTAAGCCAGTCACCACAGGAACTAGGGCCACTTGTCAGTCCTGGAAAGTTGTCCACTGCTGGGCACAAAGTAAGAGGATGATAGCACATCCCAAACTGAGATGCAGTCTCAGCTCATGCTTCCCTCGGAGCTGAGTGGACCCTCAGTGTACAATGCCATTAATCTTTTCTATACATGATTAACCATTAAATTATATCACATATTATAACATAATACACTATGATAATTTAAGTGTCATGCATCATAAAAAACTGTAAATGTCAGATTATTATATACTAATGTTGACTTATGATGCAGCTACATTATAAGTCTGCAAAAGACCATAAGCCAAAATATCTTGGGCTAAAATATCCTAAATGAAAAGCCTTATGTGTTGGTGTATGCTTGTCATTCAGCTCTGGAGAGCGGAAATAAGCAGGCCTCTGAGGTTTGCTAGCCAGCTAGCCTAGCCTACTAGGGGAACTCCAAACCAACAACAGACTCCGACAAAGGACACCTAAGGTTCTCTACACGCATGTGCATATGTGTTCAAACACACATGTCCACACACACATATGAGAACATGCACATACCTCAACAAAATATGGAAAACAAATTTCATACAACTAATCTACCAAACGTCCAACTTTAACAACACAGCACCCTGTAGATACTGGCTGTTTTCTATGCTGATTGGCTGATGTGTTTTATTGTGGCTGCCCAGTATAAGGAAAAATGGTTTTATTGCATGCCACTGACCTGAGAAAAGATAAAGTTCAAAATACAAAGCATCAAAGTATGGTTTCTGTTTAAGGCATATTGCTTTCTTACAATCATGAAGTTTAGAAGTCATGCCAAGGCAACATAAATACACACACACAGTACTACAGATTTCAAATGATTGATAGTAAAACATGTATCTGTGATATATATGTATATATATATATATATGCATGGTATATAGAAATTAGAAATACAAGAGTAATGACCACATGGGTGGTAGGGAAATAAATGGAAAATCTACCAAACAACTAACTGGCCCTTAGCTAATTACTAGTTATTAGGAATTGATTATTTTTAAACCCTGAGCCTCCTGGGATTGAAAGCGTGATGGAACACTCTGTGCTTGGTAAGTGGTGTTGGCTGAGAGGAAGTTATTGTCTTTGTTCATTGATTATTGACTCTCATCAGAACGCTACACCTATGCCTATCTTTCATCCCAGAGGTTTCTATTTGAGGCTGTTACAGACCAGAGCTGCTCTTGGCCCTCAGATGAAGTAAGGCAGCTTTCTCTCACTAACCCCTCTCCCTGAGGAGAGAGGAGAAGCAGGATAGAGGATGGGCAGGGGATTAAAGCAAAACTAGAAAGACTATCTCAGATGGGAGGAGACCAGACGGGTCATACAGAAACTAGAAAGACTATCTCAGATGGGAGGAGACCAGACGGGTCATACAGAAAGTGACTGAGAGGGAGCCTCTTCACAGTGTGCATTCAAAGGACTTCTCTCTGTGGAAGTGGGGTTTTGTCTGAGGCCTGGCGATAGGAAGAGTTGGGAACTGTAGGAAGAGCTGGGACAGGTCCTAATTGGAGACAACCTAGTCTAATTCGAGGGCTATACAAAGGGTCAGAGGCAGACTGATGCTAGATGGGGAGTTTCCTCAGTAGTCAGAGACATGGGAGCCTTTGAGTGGTGCCTGCCTTAATCTAATCCCAGCACCTGCAGGATCATTGGTTTAGCTTTCACTGTACGCTACAGGCCAGCCTGACTGTATATATAGTTCACATAGTTAGAAAGACGCACCCATGCACATGCACGCGCACACACATGAACACATGTACACACACATGCACGCACACACGCTCACACACACACACACACACACACACATGGGGGGGAGTGGAAGGAAGGGGAGACAGAGAACACCAATGAAGCAACCTTTGTGGGTTTTGTGCACAGAGACAATTATGTTGGGAGAGTAACAGAGGTAAGTGGCAGCTTATGACACTGCTGCCATCACCAGGAAGAAAGATGACAAGACTCTGCGAGATGGCATTTTGGGGGCTGGGAGATGCTAAAGAGTTTAGCATATATTTTGAAAGTAGAAACAGAATTTCCTGGTGTATTGGTTGTGTAGAGTGAAGAAGGAGAAACAAGGAGGGTCTTCAGTTTTTTCTACTTAGAGACACTAACTGAGCAGGAAGGAAGAGGCTACCTGTGGCATCAGCTGTCCACCAAAGCCAAACTAGACCTCATCTACCCAACCAGCTAGCACAATTCCCCTGGCTAACTGGTGACCCAGTTCGTGGCAATGTGATTAATTTTCTGATTCTGTTTCATCATCAATAAAATAGAAATTTAACAAGTACCTAATTCATGGGGATTTTGTGAAAATTAAATAAGTCATGCATAGAAAGTGTTTAGAATTAAATCATTTAGTACTGAAGTCAGGAACCTATGCCTCCATCCTACCTCACAGCTAGCAACCCACCCCCACCCTGTCCCGTGTGTGTGTGTGTGTGTGTGTGTGTGTGCGCGCGCGCGCACGAGTGTGCACGCACATGCACCTGAGCCAGAAGCTGATAGTGATATCAGTGTCTTCATCCATCATGCATCCCTCTCCATCTTTTTGGTTTTGTTGAGTCAGGGTCTCCCACTGAACTGGAAGCTCATCAGTTCAGCTAGACTGACTGACTGGCCAATGAGCTAGAGATTTGCCTATATCGGACCTCTTGGCACTGGGGTTCCAGGTACCCACCACCAAGGCCAGCTTTTGTTTTTATGTGAGTGCTAGGACTCCACGCTTGTGCAGGAGAAGTTTACACCAACTGAACTGTCACCCAGCTCCAGAACCTGATTTTGCAAGAGAAATTTTATGTGGAAATAGACAGGTCATGGCTTCTTGACTGCCTGTGTTTAGTTTCATGATGGCTCCAGCTCTTTCCTCAATACCATGACGCCATTTGGCCTGTGAAACTTAATGTTCCCAAAAGAGTTCTGGCCTCTGAACCAAAGACTCAAATAAGCCTGAGGGTGAAGCTCCCACCCAGAACTGTCACACACTTCGGTGGCGATGGTACTCGTCACCATTCCAAGTCTGTGACCTTCAGCTGAGACTCGCTGTGAGGTAGGTGTTTTGTCTCCTCTCTCAGAAGGTCATACACAGCCTGTTGTGACCACTGGCACTAATGAGGTGGCAGAAATGGAGCCTAAACCTTCTGCTGCCAAACGCCTGAGCGAGGGCTACCTGAGCAGAGAGTATACAACACGTCCTCTCCAGATCTGGCTCAGCAAGGGTTAAGAAGTCAGCATCAAATGAGGATGATGAAGAGTTTCAACATGAAAATACCTCCTGATGGCCGGGCGGTGGTGGCGCACGCCTTTAATCCCAGCACTCGGGAGGCAGAGGCAGGCGGATCTCTGTGAGTTCGAGACCAGCCTGGTCTACAAGAGCTAGTTCCAGGACAGGCTCCAAAACCACAGAGAAACCCTGTCTCAAAAAACCAAAAAAAAAAAAAAAAAAAAGAAAGAAAATACCTCCTACCTTGGGGCCCCACCAGTGGCTCCTGGCCATTCCCTGCAGGGAGAGGGGTTGAGAATTAAGCGGCTGTTGGAACTGAAAAGAGCTAATGACAGGTCAGATCTCTTCCCCAGCTATTTGCCTCACATAGTTCAGAAGAACAGTCATTAAATGATCCTACGAACCATTCAAGAAATCACCCCACCTTCTTAATGAGGGAGGAATGAATTTTGCTTTAACCGCAGGCCCTTGGGAAGATGAAAAACAGTAATATTACAGAATAAATCAGACTTGAATAACTGGCACAAAAATGAAGCTAATTATTTAGAAGGAATAAAGCGAGCCAAGAGCCATGAACATTTTCTACTTAACATCAGGAATATTTTAAAGTTTATTTTTAAATTTTGTTTATTTTTAAAATATCCCTTTATTTTTATTTTGCATGTATGAGTTATTCGACTGTGTATATGCATGTGCATGGCACGAATGCCTGGTGCCCACAAGAGGTCAGAAGAGGGTGCAGGACCCTCTGAAATTAGATGGATGTATGCTGTCGTGTGGGTGCTGGGAACAGAGCCCAAATCCTCTGCAAAGACAGCAAGTGCTCTTAGCAACTGAGCTATCTTTCCAGTTTTTCTATTTTTTAATTTTGTGTATGTGTATTAGTATATGCATGTGGGTACAGTGCCCATGGAGGCCAGAAGAGGCTGTTAGAACCCCTGGGTCTGAAGTTAGATACCTTTGTGAGCCTCCCAACATGGGTGCCTGGAAGTGAACTTGGATTTCTGTAAGGGCAGTACATGTTCTTAACTGCTAAGTCACCTCTCCAGCCCTGGGTAATATCTCAGTGGCTCAGGAATGCAGACATTGTGGCCACTGGAATACACCAACGGATGGCGACTCCCACTTAATCCTGTAACATTAAACCAGAGTCCCCTCCCATTTGGTACACAGATGGCATTGATAATGTGCTGAAAATTAGTCCTGTGATTGGTGGAAATCTAGAGTTATGTTGCATCCCTAGACCAGTGGTTCTAAGCTAGGGAATTTGCTTTGCAAAGCGACACAGTAGAAGATGTCGTGGCTGTCACAACCACATTGAGGTTACCACAGTTGTGGGCGAGTAGAGACCAGGAATGCTATAAAACAGCCCCAAAGCCCAGGGCAGCCCACCCACCACCAAGACTGACCCAAATGTCCACAATGCTGGGAGGAGAAGCCCAGCCCCCCACACTGACCTCGATACTCTCTACTTCCTCAAAGATTTGTAAATACAGATCCTTTCCCATGAACTCGAAATCAGCAGGACAAACTAAAGCTATTCTGGGTCACAACTATATTTGTGTGCGTGTGTGCGTGTGTGTACAGGGGCACATGTGTTGGGGGCAGAGCTCAGCTCCCATCCACCTTGTTTCCTAGGCCGGGGTCTGGCCAGTGAGCACATGCCACTGCTCCTGGCTTTCTTACATGGGATCTTGGGATCAAGTTCAGGTCCACACGCTTACAGGGCAATCTCTTTACTAGCTGAGCTATCTCACCAGCTCTATTTTTTTTTTTTTGAAACAAGATTCCTCCCCCTCCCCTGCTCCCGTGTGAACCAATCTAGCCTGGAATGAACTACATCACATGGGCTGGCCTTGAACTTTAGCTATCCTCCTCCCTCCCACAGTCGCCACAGTGCTGTGTACCGCTGGACTTGGTTTGCCTTGCGAGTATTAATGGGAAAATTTTATCTTCATTCTTCACAGTACCCTTGAATGAGTCTCCTCACTGGTGAGTCAGGTTATCCCTTTATGGATGTCTTGGAATCCTTACAATGAAACTGCTCATGTCTGTCACTATGTTTTCTGTGTAAGATCCACTTCATCATCTAGTGTCTGAAAATCCTGAGCTCAAGGCCTGAGCACTTACTCTAACTGTGTCTCTTTATGTCTGGCCTGTCCACGCAGCAGGGCCAATCTGTGGCTGCAGATGTGGATATAAAGGTTCCTTGGGTTGGAGAGATGGCCCAGCTGTTAAAGGCTAGACTCCCAGCCCAAAGGATGGGATCTTGATAAGATGTGCGCTGTTGGAGGGAGAGGTGGCTCTTACCTTCACAGATGACACTGGCATCTTCTCCAGGACCACAGTTATGCAGGTGCCAGCCAGCATGAGGGCACTGCCCCAAAAAACTCTCTGTACCAGTACAGCCCATCTCATCCAGCAGAAACTCGCCTGGGCCATCACCAAACCGTGCCTTGACGGGGGCTTCGAGGGCACGCCCACAGTTCAGTTGTCGGCACACCACGTGGGCTTCACGCAGGTCCCATTGGTCATCACAAACCCTGCCCCACTGGCCATGGTAGAAAACTTCTACTCGCCCAGAGCATCTTCCTGACCCATTGGCGAGCTGCAACTGTGGCCAGTCTTAAAGACACGAAAGCATCGCTGGGAGGAAGCTACTCCACTTGAATCAGTTTGCCTAATCACACAGCACGCCCTCACTACACAATAACACATTTGAGCAGATGGCACAGGGGATCCTATCACTACAGGATGGGCCTGATCCTTCTTAGCACAAAGGTCATAATCTAGCAACTGAGGTGAATTCTGCCCCATTCCCACTGAGTTGGGACCCAGGAAGAGCTGTGAGAAGTATCTAGCAGATTTAATCTTAAGGTGTATCCCAGTGGCAATAACACCCACTTTTCTAAAGTGAGCCATTTTAATCTAGAATTAAATGGAGATCTGCAAGAATGCCAAGTGCCAGGAAGCAAAGGTGGTGGTGTTCATAATGATTTGAGAGTGGGTAATGGATAGCTGGGGTGGAGATGTCTTTTCTAAGTAACAATGGACTCAAGGCTTGGAGAGGAGTAGGAAGGAGTTGTACTAAGAACACCTATGAAGCAGGTAGAGCGTTCTCCAGCATGGTAAGAAAAGCAAAACAGTCTAAACAAAGTCCATAGAGTATTATTAATGGGGTGAATGCACAGGGATTCTTTGGTGACATCATTCTATTCAGTAAGATTTGTATGGCTAAAGATTTACCCACTAGTTAGAAAACCTTGCCTGATCACATCCCACAAATGGCCAGGAAACCGTGACTCACCACCAGGAAACGGTGTTAAGAGTTCAGCATCTAAGAGCAAAGATAAATAAACAGGAGTCACTTCCATGCAAAAGAGCCCACCTAAGTACACTGTGTGTGGCATCGCACAATGTAGACATTAGCTGGCACCAGGATGGCATGAGGGAAGGGTGTGTGTGTGCAGTAGGATCTGATCGGTGAAAACTGATGCTGAGTTCAGGAAGCTCAGAGTCGGTCATTTACAAATTGGGCTATGTGCACAAAGGCATTGGCTTCCAGAAGGCAGCAGGGTCCAAAGCATAGAAAAGAGTAGTCCTGTGGTCATTACAAAGGAGTACATCAAGAGACTTGCTTGTTGGATAAGCAAGGCTTTCCTCTTTCCGCCGTTAGCATGTGGCGGAGGAATTGAAGGCACACGTTATCCTTGGGACTTTCCTCTCTGTCTTGTGTCTGAAGTTAGGACTCTCCTTAGTCAGTCTGAGTTCAGTTGCACCTTAGAGTTAAAATTTGCCAACCCAGATTCATTGTCTCCTCCAGACTTCTCTGAAATACGTTTGAGCAACCAGAACAGTGCAGTTTGGGGATGAAATACTACCTGTGTGGTTAAAGCCAAGAAACCTCTTCATTTTCTTTGCTTTTGGTGGGTCCTTATGTTTGTCTTCTGCCCTTCCCTGCCCCCGATGTGGGTTATGGTAGCAAATGCAATCAGATGCCTGGGGGAGCGTGTGGGTGCTCTATTAAAGACATGCTAAGGTCTTTGCTCTTACCAAAATCTCTTGAAGTTTCACTTTCTGTAAGAATGTTTTCAGATTCTGCGAGGAAGAAAAGAAGGTAGAACACAAGGTGAGTCTATGGGAAGGGATAAACACTGCAGTGTTCTGCCTTGCTGAATGGCTTGCTGCTGCCCTGGTACCCTGTCCCCAGAGGAAAGCTCAGCTTAGAATTAGTTACATGGGGCTAGTTCAGAAAAGCCAATGCTACCTAGAAAAGAGAGTTCATTTACCTTTGTTTGGTGTTTGTGGGGATGTCAGTGTGAACTGTGTGCAGGGTTTGCCCAGGTGTTTCAGAGAGGGTTGGTTTGCCTAGCTTCTCAGCTTGGGGTTGGAGCTGGGTGGCCACACATTAAATAGGCACATTTTCTTAAGGGATTTATGCTACTGGGTACTGAATATTTCAAAGGCTGTTTCATGTTAAAATAAATGCAACTTTGGTATCCTTTAGACTTTGAAAGTGAATGGGATTCCAGAGTCTCTGCTGAAGGCAGGCAACCCTGGGGTCTTGATGTTTGACAAGGCAACTGATTCTCTAGTCAGAATTTGTTCTCTTGCTGACAAGTCAACTACTCCCCCTCCAGCCCCCATTAGCGGCATGGGTGGGGTTTCTCCCTGTACATGGGGATCTTGTCAAGGGTGTGTGCATGTTATGGTGGTTAAGCAGATGCTATGGATGAGACTATTAGCAGAACAACACTGACCACTGTGGATGCTCATACGTTTTGCTAAGGTTCACGGCACCTTTGCATATTTGGTGGACATTGTATATGGCTACCTCAGGTCCAGATGCATGCTATTGGTCAAGAAGGCATTCCTTTTGACCTTGACTTAATTTTGCTCCTTAATTTTGGTTTCTTTGTTTTCTAAACAAGAACAATAAAGCAAACCCACCTGAGTGATAAGGATGGGGTGGAAGACGGGTGCAAAGTGCTTACAGAACTGCAAAGCACCCCATGAGCAGAGAGGATTTATGCTTTGAGGCAGCCTCTTCAGCAAAACCAGTCAGACATTTGTTTCTAGGAATCATGCGGCAAGCTATGATTCAAATTCTAATTCAACAGACCCACCAAAATAGCACATTTACAAATCAACTTCAATCAGTAGAAAAGAAAGCAAATGGGGCTGGAGAGATGGCTCAGAGGTTAAGGCTGCTCTTCCAGAGGTACTGTGTTCAATTCACAGCAAGCACATGGTGGCGCACAACCATTTATAAGATCTGGTGCCCTCTTCTGGCCTGCAAGCATACATGCAGACAGAAAACTATATACTTAATAAATAAATAAATCGAGAGAGAGAGAGAGAGAGAGAGAGAGAGAGAGAGAGAGAGAGAAAGAGAGAGAGAGAGAGAGACAATCAAGAGAAAATCAGATGAAATTATTGGGAAGTGCTGGGTCCAAGCTGGCACTTGGATAAGGAGTTGCAGACAATTTCCCGCCACTATGAAAGTAACTATTAATCTATCAACTTTCAATGCATTATTAATTTATGATTAGTTGCTGATGTCAATATCTCCACCTGAACCTGCTCAATTCTAAAGCTTCTGTGCTATTGTCAGCTGATACTGGAAGAGTTTGTAGTGGAGAGTCATCCTGTGCCTTGTATAAGGTTTATCAGCGTCCCTGGAGGCTACCACAGATACCAGAGGCATCCCCCCCCCCCCCCCCCCGTCCCATGTGACAATCAAATTTGCTTCCTAGGGCACAAAATCAACTCCAGCTGGGAACAACCACAAAAAGATATACTTGAAAAGGGCTTTTAAGTCCCCCAAAGCAAAGTTTATACTTATGCTAATTTGCTAGCTAGACTGCTTTCAACCCTTCCCTCTCAGGGTACCTGGCCCAAGAATGTGTAGCCTGGGAGAGCAGCCAAGTCCTCCTTCTGCCCACCCAGGCTGCTCAGAGCACCCACACGAGGCCAGTGTGAATTCTGCCCCATAGTGGCGGGACTGTGGGTTCGCTGGAAATGCTCTTAGAAGCGGGTGCCCCAGTTCAACCTTAAAGCAGGTCTCAGAATAAGGATAATCAGGGGAACTTTCTCCTGCAGGCTGGAGAGCTACCTTAGGAATGGCAGTTTCATGGACCAGAACTCCTCTATACTTCCTGCAGTGGGAAAGACCCTAGCCATGACAGAGCTCATGACATCAGCAGTCACCAAGAATGAGACATGCTGCTCTCTGGTGGCAGCGGGCACGCGCAAGGAGGCCATTAGCCCATCCCATGGAGTCAGAGACGTTTTGTTCCCTGTTAGACCTCCCCAGCCTTCCACAGAAAAGGCTCGTGAGGTGAGTACTTAGCTCTTGGCCAGGGGATGAAGCCTTAGTTCCTGCTTCCTAGAAGGCTGAACCTTGAAATGTGAGCAGAGGAAACTTGGAGAGGAGTCTCTGGTTCACCAGTTAGCAACTGGTGAGTATGGGGGGGGGGGGGGGGCTTTCTGGGGAGGGAGGGCTTTCTTCTCTCTTCCACCCAACTCTATACCTTGTTCTAGCATCCACAGCTGCTTCACCAGGGCCAGAACTACTCTGTCTCTGGGAGCTTGATTCCCCCAAAAGCAGAATTTTAGAGACCATGTTATTGACAGTCTGGCTCTCAGGATATAGGGCAGGACACAGGGTCACCATGATTACCATCCCAATGATCGCTCCCATTTAGTTAGGAAAAGGCTCAAAGATAGGCAGTGTCACACCAAGCACAGAGAGATGAGTGTGGGGAGAGGACCAGTAGAGCGCCACCTAGGGGTGCCTCCCCGCAATTCCACATGGCCCATAGTTAGAAGAGGTCCACCCTTTGCAGCTGCTCTGCTATCCCTATCTAGAAATTGCTCGTAGATCTCACGCTAGGACCCACAAATCACATAACCTTGCAGCTGGCCTGAGAGTTTCCATTTCCAGTATGTCACTCTAGTGCCACTTAAGGGGATGCAGGAGGACTTGGGTAGAATAAGAGATCCACGTTTGGCTACTTCTCAGATCCCATGAAGGAGAGGCCCAGTCACACAAGTGTCATTCTGGAAGGCGCCTGGGACAAGACTTTTGATCCCACAAGACACTATGTTACAAGAGTTTCCTTTGGGTCGGGGAGAAAGGAGGATGATTGGCTAAAGTGAAAAATCAACTCTTGGGGAGGATGGGAAGTGATTTACCAGAGCAGACAACACCAACGTCTTCCTCGTGCCCACAGTTGTGGATGAACCAGCCAGCATGAGAGCACTGGCCCAGGGAGACCTCAGTCCCAAAGCACTGCACATCATCCAGAAGAATGGGGCCAGAGCCCTGACCGAAGGGGGCCTCTCCCAGGGTGGGCACGGCGACCCCGCAGCCCAGCTGCTGGCACACGACCTGTGCTTCCTTCTCGTCCCACAGATCGTCGCACACTGTGCCCCACACGCCTTCAAAATACACCTCCACTCGGCCAGAACACCTGTTAGAACCTTCCACGAGCTGCACAGGAAGCCAGTCTTCGGGAGAAAGGTAGTCTCCACCACCACCTGAGTGTTGGTGAATATAGAGTCGACTTCCCCACCAACTACCCAGGAGTACCACCTGTGTTTCCAGCACATGGCTAAAACCCCTTCCATGGACAACTTTGCAAAGCTCCCAGATACCATGTAGGATACTATTGTCCCCCATTGTACCAGGAAGGAAAAGATGACAGTAGCAACAGCTTCCTGGTGTTAGAACATTGACTAATGAGGACCAGAATGGGACTCCATAGATCTCCCTGCATCCTCATTTGAGGTCCTGTTGTGATGGGAAGCCACGAGGCTTCGCTTTGTTCTTTGCGATCCCCTTTTCCTTCTGTGCCCCAGCCTCCACCTGCTCCAGCAAGAAAATCTTCATCTACAAAGACAGAAACTACCCAACTCTGACCACTTGATATTTCAGTCTAAGAACTTGAATTCTTGGGTCATTTCCGCTGTGCCCTATGGTGTCGGATGAGGGGTGGCGGGCAAAGGCAAATGCTCAGGGAGTGCATTCCACTGTACAGGGACAGGGCTGCCCTCCACTGTCACTTGGCACTCACATTTTTGCCTGCCAGCACTTTGCTGGGTGCCTACTGCCTGTCCCAGTGTTCTCAGGGGGCAGCGAGTTTTGCTAAGAGAGTGGATAGAAACCCACCCAAGGTAGGGCTTGACTTGGTCAGTCGCTAGCTATGCAAATCTATCTATGTGGGCCACTTAGCTTCTCTTTTCCTCTTCTGCAAAAGAAAGCAGTGCATACCTTGGAGGGTGGTCGTGAGACAGAGGCAGGTGAAGTGCCTGGCACAGAGGGGGTACTTAGAGGCTTTTATTATCTCTGTTTTATGAACCAGTAATTGACAGATGAGAATTGTTCTGCATTCCCGAAACTACTTAGGGGAAGCTGTGGGAGGAGAGAGTGGAATGCTCTCCTGCTATCACCTCTTCCCAGTCACCACAGAGCAGGGCTGTCCTGGTTCCCATCTCTGAGAGAGATTGTTAAATATGAAGGTTCTGGGGTACACCCTGTCTGGGAGTAAGGCCCAAGACTTTGCATGTTCAACAAGTTCTAAAGCAGTCTTGAGTGATTCCCTGTAGTCCAACATTTAAGAATTCTCTCCGCCACTAATGTACAAGAACCATGGAGGCCGAGAAGGTTCTGGCAGTCTCTGTCTTGTGAGGCACACATAGCACTGGGGTATTCTTATTTCTGAGGATAAGTGACTGCTCATCCTACTGTGTTTGGACTGTCCATCCCCAGGGGCTTTGATGACCTTCCACCTCAAGGTACCCTTACTCCCTTGGCCACCTTTCTGCAGGCCACCCACAGGCCTTGTCTGATGAGAACTCACCATCTTGTTGCTCCACAGACATGCCTTGAATGGGGCTTCTCTTAGGCTTCCCCTTCCCCAGCTTTGCTCCGGATCCTCTGATGTCCCTCCTGTAGCAAGCTGAGATGTATCCGCCATGTTAGAGCCCTGCAGGGACCCTGAACACAGTCAACCCAGGTCCCATGGAAACCTCCAGGGTCTTGCTCCAAACCCACCACTCCCCAGGCACAGCAGAGACTGGGAATCTGAATTTGC